CTGGCAAAACAGAAAATATTTAAAGAGTATTGATTATTAATTATCAAAGGAAGAAGGCAGAATCATTCATATTCTGTTTTCTTTATCTCAAGATAGATTTATTGATTGACTGACTGGTTGATTTGAAAGACAAAGTGACACAAAGACAGAAACAGAAAGAGAGAAATCCTCCACCTACAGGTTCACTCCCTAAATGGCTACAACAACCAGGACTGGGCCAAGCTGAAGCCAGGAGCTTCTTACAGGTGTCCCATGCAGGAGTAGGAGCCCATGAGCCTGAGCTATTTTTTGATGCTTTCCTAGGCATGTTAACAGGAAACTGGATCAGAAGTAAAGCAGCCAGGACTTGAACCGTCACCCATATGGAATGATGGCATTGCAGGAAGAGGTCCAACCTGCAACACCACAACACCAGCCCCGGTAGGTTTTATTTTTTAGAGCAATTTAAGTACAGGAAAATTGGACAGGAGCCACAAAGCTTTCCCATATGACCCTTCCTCAATCATCCAATACCCAGATTCCTCCACTTTCAACACCCCCCACAACAGAGGTACTTTTTTAAATCGATAAACATATAATGACACCGCATTATCACCAGAGATTACATCAGGGTTCATGCATACTATTGTACATTATATGAGATTGGACAAGCATATGTATCTATCACTGCAATATACAGAAAATTTCACTGTTCTAAAAATCCTCTCTGCTTGGCCTGTTCTTTTCACCATTCCCCTAACTCCTGATCTAGTGCTATCTCCATCAGTTTGTCTTTACCAGAATGTCACAAATAGCTGAAATCATACAGTATGTTGCATTTTCAAATTGGCTTCTTTCTCTTAGTAATATGCATTTAAGATTCTTTCATGTCTCTTCATGGATGGTACACCATTTCTTTTTAGCACTGAATAATATCCATTGGATGTACCAGAGTTTATTTTTTCATTTACCCACAGTAAAGACACTTGGTTGCTTCCAAGTTTCAGAAATTAGAAATAAAGCTGCTATAAACACTGTGGACATGTTTTTGTGTATACACAAGTTTTATAATTAATGGGATAAATACCAAGGAGCATGGTTACTGGATCATAAGGATTAGTTTTATAAGAAATTTCCAAACTATCTCCCAAAACATCTGTATCATCTCACATTCCCATCAGTAATAATTTACAGTACATGCATGCATTTTAAAAAATTTGGGGTTCAATGCATTTTTGAATAATTCTCTGAAAGGTCAATCACGAATGGGACACAAATTGGAGGAAAATAGTTGACCTATGTGGAGGGCGAGGATGCACACAATTTAGGACCCCAGCAGCCAAGAGCCACCACACCAGCGTTGGTGAGCGAGGTGAAACCAGACTGCAGTAGCCCAAGCCAGTGGTGAAAAAGCTGTAGGAAAGGTCTAGGGGAATCCAGCTTGGAACTCCATGAGGGATAGTGCACCCACCAAACTAGAGGAGAAAAACAGTGGGTCACATAAGAAATCAAAAAAAAAAAATCAGAAAATTTCTGGAAACAAATGAAGATGACATAACAACATATTAAACTTATGAGATACAGCAAAAGCAGTGTTAAGAGGAAAGTTTATAGCAACTGGTGCCTACATCAAAAAATTGGAAAGGCACCAAATAAATGACCTATCAGTGCATCTCAAGAATCTAGAAAAACAACAGCAAAGCAAACCCAAGACTAGTAGGAGAAAAGAAATAATTAAAATCAGAGAAGAAATAAAAAATTAAATCAAAAAAATACAAAAGATAAGCAAAACAAAGAGCTGGTTGTTTGGAAAAATAAACAAAATTGACAAACCATTAGCCCAACTAATGAAAAGAAGGGGAATACTCAAATCAATAAAATTAGAGATGAAAAAGGGAATATAACAACAGATACCACAGAAATAAAAAAGAATCATCAGAAATTACTACAAAGAACGGTATGCCAACAAACCAGGAAACCAGGAAGAAATGGATAAATTCCTGGGCACATACAACCTATTGAAATGGAGCCATGAAGACACAGAAAGCCTAAACACACCCATTACCAAGACAGAAATGTAATCAGCAATAAAGACCCTCTCAATAAAGAAAAACCCAGAACCAGATGGCTTCGCTGCTGACTTATACCAGACATGTAAAGAACTAATTCCACTTCTCAAGTTATTCAAAACAACTGAAAGAGGGAATCCTCCCAAATTCTTTCTATGAAGCCAGCATCACCTTAATTCCTAAAGTCATAAAAGGCACACCAGAGAAACAGTACTATTTCCCTGATGAACATAAATGCAAAAATCCTCAACAAAATTCTGACCAATTGAATCCAACAACACAGCAGAAAGATCATTCACCCAGTCCAAGTGGGATTGATCCCTGGTATGCAAGATTTGTTCAACATTTGCAAATCAATAAGTGTGACACATCACATTAACAAGCTGAAAAAGAAAAACCTTATGATTATCTCAATAGATGCACAGAAAGCATTTGATAAAATACAACACACTTTTGGCTGGCGCCGCGGCTCACTTGGCTAATCCTCCACCTGCGGCGCTGGCACCCCAGGTTCTAGTCCCGGTCGGGGCACCGGATTCTGTCCCTGTTGCTCCTCTTCCAGTCCAGCTCTCTGCTGTGTCCCGGGAGTGCAGTGGAGGATGGCCCAAGTCCTTGGGCCCTGCACCCTCATGGGAGACCAGGAGAAGCACCTGGCTCCTGGCTTCGGATTAGCGGGGTGCGCTGGCCATTGGAGGGTGAACCAATGGTAAAAGGAAGACCTTTCTCTCTCTCTCTCTCTCTCTCTCTCTCTCTCACTGTCCACTCTGCCTGTCACACACACACACACACACACACAAAATATAACACACTTTCATGATGAAAACTCTAAGCAAATTTGTTATAGAAGGAACATTCCTCAACACAATCAAGGAAATTCATGACAAACACACAGCCAGAATTCTATTGCATGGGGGAAAGTTGGAAGCATTCCCATTGAGATCTAGAACCAGACAAGGATGCCCACTCTCACCACTACTATTCAATATATTCTAACTATATTCAAAATAGTTTTATCCAGAGCCAATAGACAAGAAAAACAAATCAAAGGGATTCAAATTGGAAAAAAGGAAGTCAAATAATCCCTATTTGCAGATGACATGATTCTATATACAGGAGATCCAAAAGACTCCACCGAGAGACTGTTGGAACTCATAGAAGAGTTTGGTAAAGCAGCAGGATATAAAATCAATACACAAAAATCAACAGTCTTTGTATACACAAATTCCACAGCTGAGAAAGAACTGCTAAGGTCAATCCCATTCACGATAGATGCAAAAAAAAATCAAATATCTCGGAATAAACTTAACCAAGGATGTCAAAGATCTCTATGATGAGAATTACAAAACATTAAGAAAGAAATAGAGGAAGATTGGAGCTGGCACCGTGGCGCAGTAGGTTAATCCTCTGCCGGCAGCACCGGCATCCTAAATGGGCACCGGTTCTAGTCCTGGATGCCCCTCTTCCAGTCCAGCTCTCTGCTATGGCCTGGGAAAGCAGCAGAAGATAGCCCAATTCCTTGGGCCCCTGAACCCACGTGGGAGACCAGGAAGAAGCACCTGGTTCCTGGCTTCTGATCGGCGCAGCTCCAGCCGTTGCGGTCATTTGGGGAGTGAACCAACAGAAGAAAGACCTCTCTCTCTGTCTCTCCCTCTGTCTGCAACTCTAACTCTCAAATAAAATAAATAAAATCTGTATTAGAAAGAAAGAAAGAAAGAAAGAAAGAAAGAAAGAAAGAAAGAAAGAAAGAAAGAAAGAAAGAAAGAAAGAAACATCTTTCATGTTCATGGATTGGAAGAATCATTATCATCAAAATGTCCATTCTTCTGAAAGCAATTTACAAATTTAATTCGATACCAATCAAAATACCAAACACTTTGTTCTCATATCTAGAAAAAATGATGCTGAAATTAATATGGAAACACAGGAGATCCTGAATAGCTAAAACAATCTTACACAACAAAAACAAAGCCAGAGGAATCACAGTACCAGATTTCAAGACATACTACAAGGCAATTAAAAGCAAAACAACCTGGTACTGGTACAAAAACAGATGGATAGGGGCTGGTGTGCTGTGGCGTAGTGGGTAAAACCACCACCTGCAGAGCCGGCATCCCATTTGGATGCTGGTTTGAGTCCCAGCTGCTCCACTTCCAATCCAGCTCTCTGCTATGGCTTGGGAAAGCAGTAGAAGATGGCCCAAGTCCTTGGGCCCCTGCACCCACGTGAGAGACCCGGAGGAAGCTCCTGGCTTCTGGCTTCAGATCAGTGCAGCTCAGGCCATTGCAGCCATCTGGGGAGTGAGCCAAAGGATGGAAGACTCTCTCTCTCTCTCTCTCTCTCTCTCTCTCCCTCCCTCCCTCCCTCCCTCCCTCTCTCATCCTCTGCTCTCTGTAACTCTGCCTTTAAAATAAATAAATAAATATTTAAAAAAAAAAAAACAGATGGATAGACCAATGGAACAGAATAGAAATGCCAGGAATCAATCCAAGCATCCACAACCAACTTATCTTTGACCAAGGAGCTAAAACCAATCCCTGGAGCAAGGACAGTCTCTTCAACAAATGGTCCTGGGAAAACTGGATTTCCACATGCAGAAGTATGAAGCAAGACCCCTACCTTACACCTTATACAAAAATCCATTCAAAATGAATTAAATACCTAAATCTATGACCTGATATGATCAAATTATTAGAGAACATTGGGGAAACCCTGCAAGACATTGACACAGGCAAAAAGTACTTGGAAATGACCCCAGAGGCACAGGCAATCAAAGGCAAAATTAACAAATGAGACTACATAAAATTGAGAAGCTTCTGTACTGCAAAAGAAACACTCAGGAAAGTGAGGAGGCAACCAACAGAATGGGAAAAATTATTTGCAAACAATGCAACTGATTCAGGACTAATAACCAGAATACATAAAGAGATCAAGAAACTCCACAACAACAAACAA